CACTCTCTCTCTCTCTCTCTCTCTCTCTCTCTCTGGGATTTCCTTGATTGATTTCCTCCATTGTTGTTCGTACTGTATGATACGAAGCCAAGGTGTTTGTAGTTTGTTCTAGCTGAACTTGCTTGCAAACATTTACTCATCTTTAGCTTTTGATTGTTGAGCCTTTGCAGGAATAACTTGAATCCACATTGAGAAGGAAGAGAGGAAGGCTGATGGAGGAGGAGAGACTCCCAGGGATCGGAGATGGAGCCACCCAAGTGGATAACAAGGTGCTCCAGTCCTTGCAGAAGAGCTTCCTCCAGGTCCAGAGCATCCTAGACCAGAACAGGCTACTGATCAATGAGATCAATCAGAACCATGAGTCGAAGATCCCCGAAAACCTGAGCCGCAATGTCGGGCTCATCAGAGAGCTCAACAACAACATCCAACGGGTTGTCGGCCTGTATGATGACCTCTCCCTCTCCTTCTCCAAGTCCATGGAGGCATCACCCGAGAGAGATACCAAAAGGAAGCTCAATCAGAAAAGAGCTAGGCCTGGTCAGTGAGGCATGCAACTCAAAGCTCCCCCCACTCCCCCTCATTATTTTGGAGGAATGAAACAACTAAATGCAATGCTCCACTGAGAAAGAAACAAATCATTCATTATAGTAGGTCATCAGTTTGTGATGTGTAAGAACTGTTTTTTGATTTGTATGCCATGCATACTCTAGTTGAATCCAGGCTCCTTTTGTAGAGGCAATGCCTTGAGGATGCTAGCATATATGAGGTAGAACAAGTACTACTAAAAACATCTTGATCCCGACTCATCGATGTAATTGTTGTGCCAATCATCAATGATGGGACAGACAATAGACTCAAAATTTCTCATAAAAGAGAAAAGGTAGAGGGGCTTTAGTGGTGGAAGCTTTCTCCAATATGCTTATCTATCTGTTGATACTTTTTGCTTTCTTCCACAGAGGAAAAGGCTTCTTTTTGGTGACATTTCCTTGCATCCCTTTTTATCATGGTGTTGATCAACTCTCTTTGGTGGAGCAAACAATGTAACATGAAACAGAATCACATCTTGGTTTCCAGTAATCACTTGTTGAGATGCTAAATCATTGGGCATGGCGTGTGTTGCTTTTCGACTTCTATCTGATGTTAATGCAATGCATGTTTCATCTGAGAAGCCATGTGTGCTAAGCAAAGTTAGGATAGCTTGAATCTAAACTGATGCAACAGAGAAGCAACCCTCTCTGTTGACCACCTCAAAGTCAACAGCGGAAACCATTCAAGAATGCATCATCTCATCCTCCATGAAACAAGCGGCGCATGTGAACGAGGTTTCCCTTCAAACCAGCTTTTGCTTCTTTCTCCATATCGGTGGCCATCTGGTTTTGACCAAATCTCACCTTAGGTGCGTGTACGTTGACCGCCACATAGTTATTTCTTGAAGCTCAAGGAGTCAACGTGGTCGACCCCGTAAAACCACAAAACAACCGTGCCAATTTTGAAATCTTTGGGGTGTCATCGAACTCGTTGACTTGTGACCTCATATTTGAAATTTTATGATTTATGTCTGTAAAACTAAGTGATGTCTTTTACCGTTGACCATCTCATTCTCAATCTTGAAAATGCACCCAATAATAAAGGTTTCTAGAAATAAGCATCTACTATTTTAAGACGTCGATGCGAGCATGAATTTAATAACAACAACGCAGAATGTTTTAACTCTCTGGAATCGATTACATGAAGTGGGTAATGTAAATAGTAATTTTCTAAATCTAATGAAGAATACTTCAATTCTGTCTCATACTTTAACAAAACCTTCTATAATAATATTCAAGTATTGTTTTGTCCAAAGGTTGTACATTGATCTTAAATTGAATAAAATTAAAAAAATGATATAATATTATTTAAATTAAATAATAAAGTGTTAAAATAGCAAAATAGTCATTTAGGACTTTATGATTCATTTATAGGGTTTTCTGAAAAATTAAAATTTTTACTGTGCCAGTAATGTTATTTTTTTAATGATGTTATACTATTTTTCAAAATGGTCCCAGAAATAGTTATTCTCATTAAAAAAGTATAAATTAGGACTCCACCTTTTGTTTTATATCCTATAAACTTTCGAAAACTTTCTCAAATATTTTTACCAAAGCTGTGATAAATTCATCTTAAATTTGGTAAAATTAAAAGAGAAAATTTCTCCAAAAAAAAAAACTAAGTTTCTATTTTCACTGTAGAGTATCTTATTAGATTACCCCTAACCTTTATGTTGTTGGTAATTACCTCTACGGCACACCTCGCCCTCTTATGTTGGACGAGTCTATCATCTATCTATAGCCCCTTACGAACCCTAATGCCTTCACCCTCTCCCCCACATCAAGGGACCTTCGTCCTTGCCCTCTTTCGCAGTCTATTATCTATCTATAGCCTCTCACCCATTCGCAATCACCATTGCTCAGGTCTTGGTGTTTGGAGCTATACTTCTCTTAATCTGGCACACCAATTAGGAGTAGGGGAGGGAACAGGCAATAATCCATCACCTTTATCTTCAACCAAATAATCATATCTTTTGGTGATGAGAATGACAACTTCCTTCTCTCCAGTGTTGTCCTCGTTCCCATCACTCTCGTACCAAATGATAAGGTTTCCCCTATACATAGTGATTTTGACATATGTATATAACGATAACCTCTAACCAAAAGAAAAACATACACGTATAACATATTTAAAAAATATATATATAAAATACCCACATATCATCGTTCATATCTACGTTAGCATAGGTTTGCACATGCCCACTTCTCTACTCAATCACTTAGTTGGGGTGCTAATATCTTTACCTATAAAATAGAGTCTATAGTGAGTAATTACTTAGTAAGTATAAGGGATTATAATTTTATTCAAGTAAGCATGGGCATAAAACATTTAATGGTAAACCCCTCTGCCTATGACTTCTTCAATAAGCATAACGCTACCACATAGCATACACAAAATAAAAAGGTAAAATTCTATGTAGTAATAATTCAAAATGTTTATATACATATATGGGAAATATAACATATTCATAGACTTCTATACCCCATATCATAATATATATGTGCACTCTCACGCTATACATCATAATATATATATACACTCCCACACCACACGACATAATATATGCGTGCACTCTCATACCATATATCATAATACATATATGCATTCCTACAATGCACACAATTGTATATGCATGCATCGTACATTATAACATATTTATATACTCCTACATTACAGAAAACACCGCATGTCCTCATATATACATGCATACAATATATTTTTATCGTAATTTATATATTTTTATACTTACAAAATACTTGCATTCATATTTGCTCATGACTAGCTCATGACAATTATATTAGTCAAAACATACTTTCTAAAATATATTATACACTTGATAATTTATATGATCACTATTTTACAATAAATTAAATTTATACTTACCTAATTAAACTAAAAAATGATGATATAAAAAAATCATGTTCCTTAATGATTAAGTGTGTTAGGGAGGGATACACCTATCAAATTGGGAGCATAAGGTCATGAGATACATTAATTAAAAATCATATCTCTTGAATTATCAATTTATAATAATTCATAACAATAATTCATAGAAAATTTTGATAATTTTTTTCTTAAATAAACTATACTTAAATTTAAATTTTATCTAAATTTTACTATTATTTTTTTAATAAAAATCAAATGAATTAATTATTTATTATTTATGTTTCTATCGTCATGTTAGTTATAGTTCAATGTGTGATAGACTCGATAACTATAAAATATATAAATAATGATCATTTAAATTTTATAATTATTTATAAGATTTTTAAAATTTTAAATTTTTTATAATTAATATTTAACATTTATTGATTTATTTAATGATTTTATTGTTATTCATCTAAAATAAACAAATAACATCACTATATTATGTTTTTCTCAATATACAATAATTTTATTTTATTTTTTTATTTTTATAATACTTTAGTTTTATTAATATTTTATATATTTATTAATATAGTAAAATACATATTAATATTATTAATTTGTGACTAGTCAACGCAAAGTCATGTTTCTAATATTTAAAAATATATTTAATGTTATTTATATTTTATATATTTATTAATATAATATTAATATTATTAATTTTTGACTAGCAGACGCAAAGTCATGTTTCTAATATTTAAAAATATATTTAACGTTATTTAATTTTGTTGACTGTTATTAATTTGGGACCGGCCGATGCAATGCCACGTTTGATCCGGATTTGACTCTAAAGGGAGGGAAATGAGAAAAAGAATTAATAGTTGATGGTATTTTTCTCCATCTCAAAATAGTAACTATTCTTTTTTGCAAAAAAAAAATCAAAATAGGGATGTGTGAGAGAGAGAGTTAAAAATTAAGACTTTTTTGCGCTATATTTCACCTAAATCCCATTTTTATTATTTTAATATTATTTTCCGGAAGCAAACAAATGAGCGTCGCCATGACAGATTGGAGAGACGAACACGCCACGTCAGTGTCTGCGTCGTTTTCCCCAACCGCCTCTCTCTATCTCTCACGGGGGTGGCCGCGGCCAGATTAGCGATCGCCTAATTCCCTGCCTCAATCTCCCTTCTCCCTCATCTGCCTCTTCCTCCTCGTGACCCAATTCATCATCTGCACCACACGCACGGGCGAGCGCGTTCCTTGTAGTCCAAGCGCGCCCTCCCTCTCTCGCGCCCGCATCGGTCACACGCGACGGCTCCCTTTGCGTCTCCTACTTGGTCTTCTCCCGTCACCGTCATCCTCCGTACTCCGAACCTTCCCGCCGGATCTGACCCTTCTTAATCTGCAAGATCCGCCCCTGTTCTCGGTCTTAATCGTCTCTGGTGGATTCCGAAGGCCTACGTGGATCTTTCTTTTCTTGAGAGTTCCGATGGGGGCTGGAAGCTCGAGAGACTCGGAAGAGCGGGAGAGGGGATCGTTCCAGGACTGGGATCGACGTGGCTACTCCCGCGAGGTGCCAGAGTACCGGAGTTACCCTCCACCGCCTCAGACGTATGATCCTCCTTCTGAATCGTATCCGCCGCCTGGTTCGCGGCCGAGGCCGACGATTGATAGGAGGTATTCGAGGATAAGCGACAATTACCATACTTTGGAACAGGTATTTTCTAGGGTTCATGAAATTGTGCTTCTCATAGTTTTCTTTTTCCTCCTTGGACTGTCACGATGACAGGTGCTCCACCGGGCGCAATGAAAGCTTGGTGATGCCTTCCTTTCTTTAGGTTGGTCTCAAGAAAAAGATAGGTGATCATGGCATGTCCTCTGGTTGTGCACTTCCGCTTAAGGGACAGCCATTGTGACTAGCAATCAGTTGACCAATTTTTTTACCTTGTTTGTTGGAGTTATCTATATTTAATGTCTTTTTTCAAAAAATATTAGGTGCGCAGGTTATTAATACTATTTTATAAACCCTTGTCCATGAAGGGCCACCATAATCGGCAAGGGGTTTAGAAAATACTACGCAAGATATATAAAGTACACAAGGAGGTGTGATAAGCATGCAAATCGTGCACATGTTAGGGCTTGAATTTACCTCCAAGTTGGATCCTTTTTTCTTAGTAGGCATAACAATTAGCTTGAAAAGAAAAGGTGGTGAATTAAAGTACTTAAGGAGTCAAATATTTGCCTTATAGCCTAGTTGACCCTTGGCGATGAGCCATGTCCATTTTGATTAAATCACCTCATTTGTATGTTTTCTAACATAGAAAATAAAGCTAAATGAACCCAAATGGGACTTTCACTATAAGAGGTAGCTTAAATTCAAGTGTTGCACTATGATGTTTGATGGTGGTTGCAGACTGCTTACTGTATGTTGTTGAATATTGGTGTGTGGATAATCTCTTCCCTTGATTTTTTATTTGGAATAAAATGTTCTTTGTGCAGGTCACTGAAGCTCTTGCACAGGCTGGCCTCGAGTCTTCAAATCTAATTGTCGGTATTGATTTGACAAAGAGCAATGAGTGGACAGGTTAGTGTATCATGCTGATTATGGACGTGTGAGTTCATCACTTATTTAGGTGTGAAACTTAATTAAAAGTGAATATGGCGGCCAGGTAAATTTTCATTTGGAGGTCGCAGCTTGCATCATATTGGCGATACACCAAATCCTTATGAACAAGCGATTTCCATCATCGGACGAACATTATCAGCATTTGATGAAGACAATTTGATCCCTTGTTTTGGGTTTGGAGATGGTAAATATTATTTGCCATTAGGTATTTCCATAGACATACCATGGGTTGTTTTGTGTTCTTTAAGGTGTTAAATATTTTTCTTTTGTCAGCATCCACACATGACCGAGACGTCTTTAGTTTTTGTCCGGATGGGAGACCATGTAACGGGTTTCAAGACACTCTGGTGCAATACAGAGAGCTTCTTCCCCATTTGCGATTGGCTGGTATTTGTAATTCTGTTGCTTTTCTGTTTGGCTTAATCAGTGATTAATATTTTCACTTATTTAGTGGATCCTTTTTTTTTTATTACCTCCAGGTCCAACCTCTTTTGCACCAATTATTGAGATGGCTATGACCATTGTGGAACAGAGTGGTGGACAGTACCATGTTTTACTGATAATTGCTGATGGGCAGGTATATTTCCCTTGATTTTAGGACAGCCTATATTTCATGATGTAAAACAATTAGATAAGTTATGATGTTATTAAATATTTTAGCAGACCCTTGTAAAGGACATTAATAGCAGGAACCAATTGTTGATGATTAACCATAGTCATTGTTCTTGACGGAAGTTTGTTGACTTATATATTTATCAAGAAGGCAGCAGAAAAATGAGGACTAGCTTTGGAATCACAGGAATTATTCTTGGACTATATTAATGTCTATATCTCCTGCTGATAGACGTTCCAGTATGCATTCGTACATACATAACACACAACACATGTACATGTGCATGTCTGTGTACAGAGATGATGTTTGCTCGACAATAGACACCAAATATGGGTATTCATTCCTTTTGAGATTTCTTGATCATGGTTCCATAGTCAATAGAATTAAGTCTTTTAGCAGCAGAACAAAGGAGTGCTATGCAGTAAAATAAGGATCCTGGAGAACTTGCAACGATCTCAAGGTTCGATTCTTGCTTGTCAGTGTTAGACATACATGCATGGGAACTGATTAATGATCTCAATGAACTTGGATAGTATTATAACAAAGATGTATCGAACATGTATTCCCTTGACTTTCAAGAAGTAGAAATAAAATTTTTGAGAAATAGAAATGTCTTCATCATTTGTTAAAATTTCTGCTGCATCATCTCTGCTGCATCATCTATTTAAGTTCAAGAAATAAGCGTGCAGGAAAGCTTATTAGAACTGGATGCTAATATGTTGGGTTCCATGTGTTAACAAAGACGTAAAAAATTTTCTACTATAAACCTCAACTCACCTTTATTTTACCACATTGCTAGGTAGCAAAACAATAGACCGGCCTTTACTTAGTTCTGTCATAATCCACATCAGGCATGGTTAAACCCTCATTGATTCTGTGCAAGTCTTTGAATAAGCAACTTCCCATTGTTATATCCCTGGACAGAATTTGAGAACACGATTTGACTTGCCGCTGGAGTAATTCAATGATATTTCCTTAGCAGTAATGGAATGTCCTTTCATGTTTGGAACAATTTATGGGGTTATGTCAAAATGATCAGCTTATCCTAAAAATATTGGGTTGTACAGGTTACAAGGAGTGTGGATACTCAATTTGGTCATTTAAGCTCCCAAGAACAGAACACTGTTGATGCTATTGTTAAAGCTAGGTAAGTTGTATTACTTTTTATATGTGGCATTAAAATGATTGTTAAATGTTTGTCTTGAAAATTATCATTACATATTGGCTTCTTTTCAAACTGAAAAACTGGCATTTTCTTACTTCTTCTGTTGCAGCGAATTCCCATTGTCAATAATTTTAGTTGGAGTTGGAGATGGCCCTTGGGACATGATGAAAGAATTTGATGATAACATTCCTGCCCGTTCCTTCGATAATTTCCAGGTTTGGTAAATTTGGATTCAAATTTTTGCAGCAGCTCCTCCTACCTTTGTGTGATGCAGCTCTTAATTTTGTGAATCTGCATTGGCCTACAGTTTGTAAATTTTACCGAGATTATGTCAAAGAATATACCGCAGACAAGAAAAGAGGCACTATTTGCTCTTGAAGCATTGATGGAAATACCTTCACAATATAAAGCCACAATAGAAATGGGGATTTTGGGGTATGGTTGCTGACCATCTTAATCTTTCTATTACTTCTGATTTTTTTCAGCCACAATGATATCTTCTTTTTTTGGTACGTTCTGATTCCTCCCATGATCATGCAGTCGCCGATCTGGAAAGTCTCCACAAACGATCGCTCTCCCTCCACCTACTGGAAATCATCATGCTCCTTCTGTTGGATATACTAATTACAAGTCAACAACTTTCCAGCAGAGTGCACCACCTTACCCTGGTTATGAAACAGCATCTAGCGAACATCCTTCTGCACCAAGTTCTTCATTTGAAGATCAGGTAAAACTATATGAAGAACTTTTCAGTTTTGTTCCCTCCTTAGTCCATTGATCTTCCATGTGTTATTAAATCACATCTCATTATCTGGTGTATGATCAAAGTCTTCTACATTGTCAAAATTTCACAGCTAGCTCCAGTTAGATTCTCTTAAGCACTGTCAGTCATGATCTTGTGTTTTTGGCAGGTTTGCCCTATTTGTCTCACCAATCCAAGAGATATGGCTTTTGGCTGTGGGCACCTGGTAACCATTTCTAACCCTGCTTTTATCTTCTCACTACAGACTTCTATTGTACATCCAAGCATCTCAAGCAAATTACAAGCTCAACTTCTCTTTTGACTAATTCGTTCCCTTTTTTTTGTGTGTGGGCGATTGCTTTCTCATCATGCAGACATGTTCTGATTGTGGTCCTAGTCTTCAGACATGCCCTATCTGTCGTAGGGAAATCCATACAAGGATAAAGCTCTATTGAGGTGCCAGCCATATCTGAAAACAATGTCCTCCGGGCTTAATGAATGCATCTGGATTATGTATGCTTGGAGATCTGTCAGTTGTACAATTGCACATATGCTCGTCCTCCTCCTCTGCCAAGGCCGTTGGTGTTTTGTTTGCATTGCCGGACTTGGTTCTAATAGATTTTTTTCTTTTTAAAGTTAATTGTTATCATAGTTAGCCTGGATTCATAAATGTTCATGTGGTTAATGGGTGCTTGTACTACAAGATTTTGATGGATTCATTGTGTAATATGTTGTAGCCATTTAGATGTCAACTGATTCAATGTAACAGTTATCATTCAATTGATACATCTCAAGATTTGCTAATGTGGACTGTATTGGGGGAACCTAACACGTGCCAAATGGAATTATCAACTGCATTTTAACTTTAATGATTTTTTTTTTTTTTTTGCGCTCTTGGTGGGGTGTCACTCGTAACCTTTTTTGACTTGGCAATTAAATTGTTGTCTATCTAATCAAAAGATCTCCTGGTTTTTCTTACTTCTTTTGTATTTTCTTGTTATGATTATTAGAAGCCTCGAAATTGCTTGTGAATAGTTACGTGTTTCTCAACAGTTGGTTTGATTCGGATACCATGACGAATCTACCCAATCGCACACGCTAAACCAAAGCATTAGAGGTCATGTGAGCAAGCCAACCTAACCTAAATATGAACTCCTCGAAAAGGAGTACCAACAGAACCTTGAACAAGCCAAATCCTCCTAGAATTTTAGCTGATAGAAAGTACAAACAGCCAAGAACCAAGACGAGACATCAGATCAATGCATAGATTAATGGCTTTACTTGCACACAAGCAAAGAACAACTCGTGAATAACTACAATACCATCATAGGATTTCAGTGGTTCGTTCCATCAAATTCTACTACAGCTCATCAGGACATGCCTGCAACACGAAACTCCATAAGATCATGTTTTCTGTCTAGAAAAATATAAACCAGATTTAAAAAGCCAAGGAAAACACCATTTCCTAGCAACTTTTATTAGCTTGCAGGGCCTACAAGAACCCCCTGCGCAGAACCTTCTTTTTGGTTGGTGTCCTCCTTGGTCTCACTGTCGGCTTTCTTTATCTTGATCTTATACTTCAATTCAAACTCTGAAATCTCCTTCTTCTTCCTCTCCAATGCCTCGTTGAGGCGAGCAATGACCTCCTCGAGACCTTCCTTGTTGCGCTGCACAGCAGGCAGGATGTCCTTGATCGTCCTCTCGACCAGCACACCACTGACCATTCGGTAGCAGCGACGTGATGGATCAAGTGGTTGTATGGCACCGATTACAAGAGAGTGCTCACTGACTTCCATCTCTAACTCAGTGATCTTTGAGTAGATCTGGTTAATTTCTGAGCGCATGTTTCCATATGTGTTTAAAATTATTTGCTCATTCATCGGCTCCCGACTGTCGCTGCTAGTTTTGCTGGCCATTGTTCCTGAAAATGCATCGCAGGTTATATAAGGAGAAAATACATAAAGCTGGAATCATTTGGCATTTGCCATGGTACATCTACTCGCACATTGTTCATGCGGTAACCTCATTTTCTCCACAATTATCAAGATAACAGTGGATGCGACTTAACTCGCAGTAACCAATTTATTCACTCGAGTGATTGATCATTCATGGAAAGTAAAAAGGTAATCTCATACTTATCCTATCTGTCTTCTTCCAATTGCAACCAATTTAAGGACCAAGATATCAGACTTAACGAATATGGTCCATGATAGGGGATGGTGGCCTCTCTTGGCAATATGAATGAAGAAGAGGCTGCCGGTCGCAAATGTGACTGCCTGTTGCAGTCCAACTGAGACAAAGAAAGTCCAAAGAAGTAAGAGTATGAACTGGTCTGATTCTTGATTGGGGAGACAGAAGCCGGCAACATTAATTGTCCACTATGGTCAGGTGGAACATGTTGGGAAGATGAGAAGTAGTTGAGGATTGAAATAGAAGAGGCGCTAGATAAATATGGGAGTTATAAAGCTGATAATAGAACAGAAGAATGAATACTGCCGGCTATGGTTGAATCTCGCATTGTCTCCATGCAATCTCAATATACAAACCACATATATAGAAATGATAAGTTGTAATCATACCACATATTCCAAATCAGTTCTTGTTGGTTGCCAAGTGGATACATTGTCGTTTTCTCATTATACCCCTCAAAAAGATTATGGATGCAATTCGTTACAAACAAATCTAGACCATCCAACACCATACATACTCATATGGGAAAATGAGAATATTTTGAGCAAACAAATTGGAAAAATAACATGGCAGTATGTGTATATATGAACAGATCTTTTTAACTTGATGTCACAAAGTGTAACATCAGAAAGAAATATTGTCAAGGCAGCAAGTAGTATTCAAGATGCCTTCTCAAAATCATGCATGTATAATCTACCAACCAACTTCGTGCAGAGATTACAAAAGCATTCATATGTTGTTATTTCAGCAGCTTAACCATTCAAGTGAATTGTTGATGTTAAGCCTGAACATTTTTACGAGGGTTCGCCATTTCAGGTATCGGGCCCGTCTTGGAGATTTGTTGGGCCGGTACATACCAATATGTACTAACATACTGACACACAGTACACTAGTAAGTACCGGTGTTTTAGAGAGGAAAAAAGAGAGGGAGAAGAGGAAAGACGAAAGAAGAGGAAGATGCGTAGGAGGAGGAAGAAGGAAGGATGAAGAGGAGAAGAGACATACTTGAGAAGTAATTGAGAAGTGATTAGGGCAAATATCTTGCATGGCGGTGTGCAACGAAGTTGCGACAAGCGGAGGTCACCAATAGCCATCTGTGTGAGAAGCGTCGATCGCAGCATTGGTCGCATGGTGGTGTGTAGCACCTATCATGGCAAACAGAGTTCGTAGCGGTGAGAACTCATAGTTGCAGCATCGATCGTGTGAGAAGCGGAGGTGGTACGAAAGTGGAATTTAGGGTTTCCCACTTTCCTTTTATATCGTGAACCAGACCAGGGTGGATCCGTATATCGATCAGTGCTCAAACTGGTATGTGCCGCCCATTTTGTACCGATCCGGGTGAAACAACGATCATTGACCAGGATTCGCTATTTTGGGTATCAAACCCATCTTAGAGATTTGTCAGGCTAATACATACAAGTCTGTACGGATGTACTAACATACGGAACACTGATAAGTACCGATGTTTCGAAGAGAAAGAAAAAGAGGGAGAAGAGGAAGGGACGGTGGAGAAAGGAGGAAGGAAGAGGGAAGAAGAGGAAGCGACGAAGGAGGAAGAAGAGAAGAGGCATACCTGAGAAGTGATTAGGGCAAATATCGTGTGTGGCGATGTGCAACATCAGTCGCAACAAGCGAAGGTTGTCGGTAACCTACGTGAGAAGTGTCGTTCGCATGATAGTGTGCAATGTCCATCGCGGCAAGCAGAGGTCATAGCAGTGATAAGTCGTGATTGCAGCATGGATCGCCTAAGAGGCGAAGGCGGTGCAAAAGTCAGATTTAGGGTTTCCCACTTTTGGACTGGACCAAAGCGGGTCTGCGTATCGGTCAGCACTCGGACCAATATGTGCCACCCATTTTATATCGGTCTAGGCGAAACGACGATCATTGACGAGGGTTCACCATTTCTGGTACCGGACCCATCTTGGAGATTTGTTGGGCTAGTACGTATTAGTTTGTACCGGTGTATCGACACAAGGTATATTGTGGTATGTACCGATGTTTCAACGAGGAAGAAAAAGAGGGAGAAGAGGAAGGGACGATGGAGGGAGGAGGAAGAAAAGGAAGCAACTGAGGAGGAAGGAGGAAGAGAAGAAGAGACATACATGAGAAGTGATTAGGGCGATGTGCAACGATCAATCCTAGAATTGATTTTGTGAGAAGCATCAATCCTAGAATTGGTTGTGTGGCAGAGTGCAGCATCTATTGGGGCAAGCAGAGGTCGTAGCGATGAGAAGTCACAGTTGCAACATCGATCTCGTGGGAAGCGAAGGTGGGGCAGAAGTGGGATTTAAGGTTTCCCACTTCCCTTTATATGGTAGACCGGGGTGGGTCCGCGTATAGATTAGTGCTCGGACCAGTATGTGCCACCCGTTTCGTACCGGTCCGAGCGAAACAACGATCATTGATTTTTACTAATGCATGTGTTTAATGAAAGACATGTATTGTAATTGGCTATGATTAATAGTTGAAAAATTATTCAGTAATAGAACCTATGCAGAAGGGAGATGTTTAAATTCCTAATGAGATATGATTTCTCATAAAAACACATGATATTCACAAGTTATGTTGGTGATGACATTAAATGACTTGATTTAGAGTTGACAATCATGACATAATGTGCAAGTCGAAACACATATTAGTTGATAATTAAATGAATCTGTCTGCTTTGGGGTACTGATCGCCCATGAATTTCTCATTTTCATTTGTTACAATCAAAAGAAAACAAATCATTTGGATATAGTTTTGTTTACATGTGTTGATCACATTTCTCTGTAGCGATGATATACATAATGTCAACAAAGGATGGACGAAGGAACAAGAAGCCATGCCATGGTCCCAAGTCCTTGAGAAAGAAAAGAACCACATAGAACAGAACTGAAATATATCACCAATCAAGAAACACCTTAAAACAGCTATTTGTTATGATTAGTATTTACAGAAGTATTTAATTCGTAAGAACCTTTCTTTTGTTAGTTACTACTTTTCTATTAGAATTCTGATTGGTTAACATGTTATAAATGGAAAAATGCCTACAACACAAGCAGAGGAGATATGAGGTTATGAATGTATTCTCACAAAATGCAGTAGATTCATTCTGAACGATAACAAATCTCAAAAATTAATTGCGACTCCTTAAAGGCTCAAAGGCATTAAATCATACTTGTCAGAAGCTCATTTTGCTTAAAAGAAATTCAACCTTATAGAACAAGTTATCCTGAAACGATTAGAGGGAAAAGAACTGCCAAGGAAATATTAACGCAATTGACACATCATAATCAACAGTAGTTGGAGATAGTGGGGGTCAAGTACCTGAATGCCAGGTGACCTTTCTGCTCTTCAAATATACCAATCAAGGTTTTGGAGCAAAGGGATACCTTTAGATAAACATAGTAATCAATATATATGCATGACGGCTTCAAACAGTAAATGGAACACTATCATAAAATGTTTGAAACCCAAGTGTACAGTCTGATGGCAATTCTCTTAAAGTTTCTGTATTCATCACCCATACCGGCAACACCAATCAAGAAAATTGATTCCTGAGACCCAAAACTGGGGTCAAACGGACCAAATAGATTAGCCTTTCTAACAGCTTGAACCATTATGGTTAGATCCGCAAACTGAATTAAGTCACTTGTGAAAGTATATGTTTATGACAATCAAGCTGGTCATGACTAGTCAGAAGAGGCCAAAACATGGGGATTTGAGCTAGGGTTTTATTCAACATCAAGAGTCCCACCTAAAACAATGGTCTGATGGTGGTATACCAGATCCAATTACCAAAAAGTTGAGGGTACAAGACCTTATCCGGCATATTTTTTAAATATATTAGCTAGCTTTGTTCGTAAAGATTTTGTAAAGGTCCAGGGATCAAAATCTACCTTCGTCACTTACCCTTTGCAAAAGGAAAAAAGATCAAGAGCCGTGATATTTTGCTAATGTAAATTCCATTTCGCCTTTCACCTAATTGCTGGGACAAAACCATCAGGTGATGATTGCATGATCGCTCCCATCATAATAAACAAACCATAAACTGCCCTAAAGCCCAAAAATGATGATTGATCCCTAAAGTTAGTTTCTTTCTCGAAAAGAGAAAACAATATTCCACTCTGCTCTAAGGGATGGTTCTGACCAACATAACCTATAGATTAACAACAACGAAGAAACCAGATATTCAAGCCACTGAAAAATGCCAAACAATCCCTTGCCATTTATACATCAAAATATTGAAATATTAACTATCGAAAGCTTCGCTTGGTTGGATTTTGTGTTTGAAAGCAGAATTCAAGTAGACGGTTTATCGATTATGAGATCGACACTAACAAATCACAAATCTACATCTAATTCCAAACAACATGCCAAACGGTTGCAAGACCCCGACTTTGTAACACACGATGATGTAGAAAAAGACCACCGAATGATCGGATATATTCAACTAAAAACGCAGCGCGACAGCATCCGAAGAGAAGGATGTGGGCAAGCAAAACGGCGATGGGAGAAGGAGAGGATTTCACCTTGGATCGAAGAGGAGGCGGATGCCGAAGTCGGGAGAAGCACGGATGAGGATGTACGGCCACCACTGGACGGATGAGGGGAGGACCGGCAGGAATCGGCGACGGCGACGAGGAGCGAGCGATCGGGAGACTAGGGTTGATGCGGGCGCCGCGCTGGCGCCAGGGGCGGGGAGTGGATGTTGTTGGGTTTAGCTCAATTCGGCTTGGTTGAACCGGTTGTAACATTTGGGTTCAACTCAAGTTGAGTCGATTTCAATTAAGATTCAAATTGGGCCAGGCGAGCGCCTCGGCCGGGGGCCCACTCGAAACTTGTCGACCATCATCACACCACCGGTGGCAGCAGCAATCGTGATTGATCGACTGGTTGTCCGGCACCGATCACTACAGACTCCTCGAACCCAAGCGACGCCGCCACAGCCTCCTTATTCCAAGCGAGCAAGCAAGCAACAGATGGTGGCAAACAGCACTTCCCAACAAAGGCAAGCAAAGTCTATGATATCAGAAACGGACACCCCACGCCATGACAAGCAGCACTGACTTGCTCTCATCTTTCGAGTGACAAAAGCTCTGCCGACATGCTATTGCTATAGAATATACAAATGTACATAAGAAGGGAGAGAAAGAGAAGTGCCTGTATGCTTCTTGATGGAGTCACCACATGTAGAAAGACATGGATGGAATGTTTTGATAAATGTGGGTCCAGCTAGTACTGTCAGCTACTCCCTGGACAAAGGCCACGGTAGCTGCACTTCTTTTTCCTACCTAATACATGAGTGAGAGAGAGAGAGAGAGAGAGGACATTTCTTTTGAATCTTTAAGAGCAGACAAAGATGCAGGATGGAGGATCAACTGCTGGCCATCTCCTGGGTTTCGAAAGACTGCATGGCAGCATCGGTGTGGAGACGGCAAGCTGGTCCACAAGCCCTGCATCTGCAGCTGCACCACCTCAGTGAGCAGCAAGCGACAACCCTTCTCTCTCTTTGGGCTGCAGAGAGAGAGAGAGAGAGAGAGAGACATAGAGAGGAAAAAGAGCTGTGAGTTGGAACAAGTGATGGCGATGCGCGAGTAGTAGTAATACATGTGCTCGTGTTTGGGCGAGCAAAGAGGTGTGATGTGGGAAGTCGATATTTTAGTTATTTCCATTTAAAAAAATGAAAAAAACGAATTCTAAATGATATTTATAATAATAATAATAATACAATTTTATTATATTTATTACTCTATCCTATTCTCCATCTTTGTTATCTTCTTAAAACATCCCAAGAAAAATCAATCTGTGAAGTTCAAATTAATCTGTTCGATTTTGCAGTTTGGCCATAATTAATATATACTATTGCATCACTTGAATCTCGTACGTTTAATGTGATTGCACATTTAGGGAACTAATGGTATAGATTCAAATAATAATAATAAAAGGAAGGAAATAAAATCATATGATTATTCAGATTTAATCCATTCCCAGTTAGCATCTGATACAACTTTGCTGAAGTCTACAGCTCTTCTGCTACTTTTGTTCTTTTAATCCATCTCGTTGACTTTAAGATGTTAATGCATCCACACCTTTTTATTCACGACTTTTTGCTGATCCACGAGAGCCATTTTTCTAGAAAATTAATCAGCACCCCACTTTTATTTTTCTAAAATAATATTTTTAATTTAAAAAATATTCAAATGATCCGTCGAAAATTTTTCTATATATTAGAGTGTTTTGGTTTGTTATAATATTTTTGGTTTATTATAATGTTTTGATTAAAATGGACTCTTAATTTCGATCAAATTAATTATAAACCTAAAAATATGATATTTTAATGGTCTATGAGTAATGACAATCAAAGAGACATGTTATCATTTACAACATGTTAATAAAAATACTATAAATGTTATTGAAAAATATTATAATCGAGTCAAATGAAAATAATATAATAGTTAAAAATTGATAGAAAATAAAAAAATTAATATTTTTTTAAATAGGAATACTATTTGAGAAAAAACAAAATATATAATATTTTTAAGACACATATAAAATATGTTTATTTTCTATAAAAATTATATATTCTATAATTTTTTATCTCATCATCTTCATTATAGGTGTCAATTATGCTCATGAGCAGCGTTGCTCGGTCTCTGTCACAAATAAGACACTCTCATGTGTCTTTATATCTCATCATCTTCATTATACGAGTCAATTATGAATTATTTAGTTTGATTGAACTAGATAAAATAAATAAGTATTATTATTTTAATATTTTAATATATTTTTATATTTAAAAATATTATTATAATATATAAAAAATTATAAAACATATTATTATTATAAAAAGTATATTATATATATATATATATATATACACATTCTCACTCCCCATATCGTCTCATCCCATGCACACATCCCTGATCTCCATCATCTTGCACTCCAGCTATTTATTTCTCTGACATTGTGAAGCAATATGATCATGTTAACATCATGCTCTCTCTCATGCTGCCTCCCACTCTATGCCAACCTGCAAAGCAAAATGCCATGTTTGTCCATTGGTTCAAGGCTCTGCGTACAACAAATCATCCCTCTTCCTTTCCTTCTTGGAAATGAGCAATCACAGGCAAAATCGACCAGTCTCACCTCCCAAATTATCTCCTCTCTCTCTCTCTCTCTCTGACGCTCTGCTTCCTGCATCCTCCAGGAATGTGCAGGCACAGCCACAGACGCCGGCCCAGAAGGATTCCCCATGGTAAAAGAGGAAAGGTAGACGAAGAGACAACCCCTGAGGCTGCAACCCCGAGACCAGGGGCACTATAGTCATTTAATATTGTCGTCTTTTCGCTTCTTTTGCGTTAATCTCCCTTCCCAAAGGGTTATTTTGTATAATGAAAAGACGGTTTTGCCCATTAGTGATAAATAACTCCCCTTCCAGGAGTTTTTCCGCCTGCGACGTGACACGGAGGGCGTGCAGTCTTACCGACGTCGGGGTGCGAATATAAAGGACGGGCGTCGCTATCCACCCATTGAAGAGGGGAGTGCGCCGCCATACTGCCACCGCATTAAAACGCCGCTTTCTGCTCTCGTAATTGCCTTCCTTTTTCCTCCCCCGATATATCGCTTCTTTTGTACCGGTTCACTCTATATAACGCATTTGGAAGAAGCTTATGTGGGGGGAGAGACACGGCGTATTGGCGTGTGAGCTGTGTCGTTTTGGTTGGGTCGGGAGATGGAGCCGGAAGCCCGGGGAACTCTTCTCGATCCGGCGGCGGCGGAGTTCCACCCGGCGGCGAGCAGCCGGTTCGCTGTCGTTGCCCATCCGCTGCAGTTTTACTTCCCTTACCGTCATCCTCCTCCTCAACCGCCGCCTGCCGTAGCGGTGACACTTGTAGCGCCTCCAGAGGCGGCTAGTAGAGCGGTGGTGCTGAACATGGTGCCGCCGCACGTGGGGGAGGCGGAGGTGAGGGCGGCGATGGAGCCGTTCGGCGGTGTGCAGGCGGTGGACACGGTGGCGCTGACAGCGCAGGGAATCGTCACCGTCCACTTCTACGATCTGAGGAGCGCGCAGGCGGCGGTGATGGCGTTCCGCGAGCACCCCGCGACGCGGCAGCACTTCCCCGCCACCATCACCGGGAACCTTGCGTGTCCATGGGGATGGCTCAGCGACGGCGTGGGAGGCCGCGGACTGACCGGATGGCCGGCGGTTTCGGCTCAGTTTGCAGCCTCCGGCCTCGACGAACCTAACCAGGGTTCCATCTTGGTGCTTAATTCGGACCCGACCGTGTCCTGCGCTGCTCTCAGACAAATCTTTGAAGCCTTCGGTATGGATGATTTCTAACCATTATATCTTCACCGATTTAGTTCAAAGATACCAAGAAAGATCAAACAAGAAGCAAATCTTGAAGAGATCTCTGTAATATATGTTGGGTGCTGTCTTCCTTGTATTCTATCATTAGATATCCTTTGTTTCGTTCTGTACTTCTTGCTATATGTACCATGTTTCTTTATGACTCGGTTTTGCATGGCTAAGAGAGAGAGAGATTTTATCTTAATGGCATGTAGGAGCTGTGAAGGAAGTGAGGGTGATGACATCGAAGCAACACCACTTGCTGGTGGAGTTCTACGACAAAAGAGACGCCGCTCGCGCCCTCTCCGAGCTCCACGGCAAAGAGGTTCATGGAAGGCGCTTGGTGCTCCAATTCGGAGCAACCGGAAGCCAAACAAGAAGGTGACATCTCCTTCCTTCCTTTTTCTCTTTCGATTTGGTCACTCACACATGTAATTCATGGTGCAGTGTTTACTTTATGAACAGCTTTCCATTGCCTCCGCGGCTTCTGCGAGGTAACCCAAAGGCCAGTCGATGGATTCGGAGCGGTCCTAAGCCGCTGTCGTCTTCCTCTCCTGGTAAAGAATTCCGAGAAGTTGGTAATCCATCGGCGTTGCTGAAGAACAGCAGTGCTTGCGATGCTCACGACAGTGCGGGCATCGTGGAAAGAAGGAACAGAAGGGTGAGCGAATGCAGCAAGAACGAGTACCCATCACCACCACCATCATCGAACGTGCATCATCATAGAACGAACAGCAGTTGGAAGACTCATCAGAAGAAAGAAGGCGATTCCAAGTTTCTCTTCAAGGAAGTGCAGCCGGAAGAATCACGCCCAACCTCTCGTGGTGATTCCAGAACCACGGTGATGATCAGAAACATCCCCAACAAGTACAGGTTAGCATACTCTTTCCTTATTTCATCTCGTAATGCTTCATCTCTTACAAATGAATGGCTTGGTGGTGCAGTAGGAAGCTGCTTCTGAACATGCTAGACAACCACTGCAAGCACTGCAACGAGCAGATTGGCGAGGAAGATGATGATCCCATCTCCGCCTATGACTTCGTCTATCTTCCCATCGATTTCAAGTAAGTTTAAAGAGTAACTGCTTCAGCAGTTGATTGTTTCTTTTGAATCAAAAGAATAATAAGAAACAAGGAATGAGGAGAACAGAGTAAAACCCTGACAAATGTGCTGAAGCTGAAAGAACCCATCAAACCCTAATCAGAAGTCAAAAGGCTTTGCAGGCATAGAGTAGGCAATGAACGAAACTCACTCACCATAGTTCTCGTTTGATTGATTTGGCGGTGAGATTGAAATGACCCATCAGAGCACAAACAACACTTCTACATGAATTGGGACCCTAAAAGCAGCTTTTGGACAAGACACGATACAAAATTATGTGGCGATGATCTCGGTGTTGTGTTTCTGTAGCAACAAGTGCAACGTCGGCTACGGGTTTGTGAACCTGACGTCGCCGGAGGCGGCCTTCAGACTCTACAAGGCCTTCCATCAGCAGCCGTGGGAAGTGTTCAACTCGCGAAAGATCTGCCAAATCACCTACGCTCGGTTGCAGGTTGCTCTCTTAGTTAGGTTCTAGGTGAATGCTGCGGGAATCTCTGACGTCTGGGCTTGTGGTCTTGCAAGGGCTTGGAGGCTCTCATGGAGCACTTCCGGCACTCCAGGTTCGCGTGCCACGACGACGAGTACATGCCGGTGGTCTTTTCTCCCCCGCGAGACGGGAGGCAGCTCACCGATCCCGTCCCGGTCGCCGGCGGGCGTGAAGCCACTGCAAGAGGAAACAACTTGACCGATGGAGCGTCGGTGGCGCCGGCGGAACTCGACCGGTGCGCGGCGTCCTCGACGACTGCCTCAACCTACGCCCCGCCTGATCACGGAGGCGCCGGCGACAGCGACGAGGCGTGACCGAGGATGGTGGGCGAAGCGAAACTCTGCAAGAGTCATCCTTGATATCCCGGCGCTTCCTTGCAGAGCTGGTAGCCATCTCTCTCATTGTTGTATTAGGAAGTATGGAGAATCTAAGCTTTGGGATGCTTCTACAGTGACTGTATCAAGGATTTAGTGGCATTAATCATTTATCATCTTGAGATAAATTTCCCTTGAGCCAATCGAGCTGGGAAGAGGCATTTCTTGTGCCCAACCTGTCGGTGGAGCGTTCACCGCCCGGCAAAACTCGATGCTGGGGGGGCTTTTGATGCCTCCAAATATAATAATATGCCCATAACCTTCTGCTTCCAACACGGTCCACTTCACGAGTGTTCATCTTGTTCAACCTTTTATTTCCATCTCAAGGCTTAAAGATTGGCTTGATGTCGTAGGGTTGGCTATGCTCAGTCCTCAGACGTTGTCTTCAACCGAGGGGCCTCCTTGACATTGCTTCGCACGAGGCCATGACCAATCAATGCAACTTTTAAGATCGATCTTAAAAGACGCACTACTACGCTGCTTTGTGGTTGTCTTCCAGATAAATGTTCCTGTGACTTGCTTTCTCTAAGCAGTGATGAGAAGGAGAAACTACAATGAACTCATCTTATCTTCTCGCTTGTGAGCTGACACTTTTAGATGCAAATTTTAGAATGATAGAAACAAAAAAAAGGAATTACTGAGTCGGAG